ATCATGCGTGTGTCATCTCAAATTTCTAAATCATCTGATGTCTAGGCTTTTCACTAGTACTGCTGAATTTATTTACAGTTCGTAACCGGCTTTAGTTTTTTAAAAATATTATTGTTCTATATTCTATCAACCTTTCGTAACAACCTGTCGAATAACACTACGCAAAACAGATTGTTAATTACTTCAGTAAAAATTGACATATTTACGAAAAGCTTAGAGGTAACTGTTCACAAGAATTCAAATTTGATCACATTCAAGGATAACGATTACATTCAACGATCACATTCGCATTCAAGACATGAAAATTAATCAAATTCAACAGGCATCTCGATCATATTTAAGGTCATACATCACATTCAACATGAAAATCCCAGACATTCACATTCAACACATCGAAAATTAATCAAGTTCAACAAGCATCTCGATCACATTCAAAGTCACGCATTATATTCAATAAACACATTCAATTTCATCATATGAAGAACAACGATCACATTCAACAAATATCTTGATCATATTTAAGGTCACATATCACCTTCAAGGTAGCCTGTGTGCAGCCGCCCCATCCCTTAAAAGAAATTGAGGGGTACCTTCAAACAGCACTCTCAGCATTCACATTCAATAATGAATTTTTTTAATGTCAACAAATCCCAATATGCTTTGCGCTGGTATCGACGTCGCCCTCGAGTGCATGCTGGGAAATATAATTTGCAAGTGCAAAGCTTCGCCGTCCATTTCCCTCGGCACGGACAGTGATCATGATGAATATGCGGAATGGATGAGAGTGTTTTAGTCGATTGTTCAACGCTTAGAAGACTATGAGCAATATAAGCATAATACAGCCAACGTATCCGCTCGAGAGAATATAGCAATCAGGATGGAGTCAGTGTTGCCGAATCAAACATCTGAGAGGTAAAAGACGTAGAGTGGTATGGGTTTGACCCATACGCACCTAGACCCGAGATGATGGTCTATCAACTGTTGAATTAGATGATGTTGATATAGACAACGAGGACGATGTCATCACTATTTTAAGAAATAGCATTGATCCCCTTGCAGTTTCGAACAGATTTGGAATTGATTTGTACATGAAGGCCCTTTCACTTTTCACAACATAGTGGTCAAGGCATTGGTGTGCTTATTTATGTTTGAAAGAATGAAGCAATTTACAAACTACCTTCTTCAAAATGTCTAGGGGTTTGGCCTGAGTAATCCAGTAGAGTCGCAATTTTGTAAATCTAACTAGTTTTGGGTAACTCTGGCAGTCAAGATGTAGCCAGAATTTGTTTCACTGTTAAAAGAAACAGGATGTCAAAGAAGTTTCAAATGCCAGGGCTTAACACTCGTTTTATCATGAGATCAAAGGATCCAGTCTCAGTGCCAGAGACACAAAAGTTAAAAGTGCATTATGTAATCTCTTGTAAACTATTTAAACTTTTAGTTTAATAGAGCCTTTTTTTCTCTTAATATCAAGTAACATTTAACATTTGGGATTGAACAGGAACAAAACACTATGTGTCTAAAACAATCAGTTGCCTTTCTCACCAAACTTCAACTTAAACAACATTTAAATATTATTTCAGTAATAATTATTTGTATATCATTTGTTATTTTAATCATTTCACCCCCAGAAATGGCAGAAGGCAGTATTTGACAAAAATTCCAAATTTGTTTTGTATAATTATGCTGGAGAACAGACAGTCTTATGTGAAAATACTGCTTAAGATAATAATGGTCACATCACATGATGTCATCCACAAACTCAAAATGTTAGAGTCACCTTCTGTCACTCAGGGAGTGAAATGATTAACATATTTTGTTTTCATTTACTCAATGGGACTGGACAGGAACTAAACAGTAATGCATCTAAAATATTGAACTCCCAACACTGTATCTCGCACAAAATAAAAGCATTATTATAAATGTTAAGACAATAATGGTGACTTTACTACATTACATTGTCTTGTATTAATTCTATTTTAAGTTAAGGTATGTCAAGTATGACAGAGTACAATGCAAATATTTGGCACCCACTTTGGGCCTGTTTACAGGAAGAGAGGATGTCCTTACTAAAAACAGGTCAACCTATACAAGAGGGACAACTTTGTTTTAATCTTCACCCCCTCATCTTCCTCTCCAACAGCAACAGCAGCAACAACATCAAGTAAAAAAAGGCTCTTAGAAAGAGAGATTTGCAATGTAATAAAAATGTCCATTAGACACGATGCTATAAAGTTGTTGACACAATAGCATCCCTGAAAGTGACGTTATTTCAATTCACCACTAAACAATTTTTACCATTATGGCAGCCAAAAAGAATAATTAAATTTTAAGGACTGTTATGAGATAAAAAGGATGCACAGGTGCTTTAATTTTCTGAAACTGTGCTAATTTCTTGACAAATTCCAGAAAATTTTGCTTGAAATTCAAATAGGATTCCAATGAGAAAATTAAGTAAAAGTGCAAAAGAAAATTTGCTTCTTTATTCGTTAACGATCAATGGAAACTAAGCAGAAACAAAGGTAAAAGAGTCTTAAAGTTCACCTAAAGTTAAAATACTAACATGTTCGTAAGAAGTCGTGGAGTATGGTTTGGATTTGCTGAAAAGATGATTTGCTGAAAAGAAAGTTTTGCTCAGCGAAAC